ACACTATATAGGGTGTCATTTGGCAGGAACACTAGAACCTACCTTCCACTGTGCTAGCCACATTAATAATACAAACGATGAGGAAATAATATATACATTTGCAATGTCAGACATTTAGGTTACAGGTGGATCATCAGAATGTTTTTTGTTTTGCAGTATATGCAGAAAATCAGCGTGAATGACTTTGGTCCAAGATATCAAAAACAAAAAACTCAAATATCTTTTACGAAGCTGGAAGACATTTTACATTACAATAACCAAATACAAGCTGTTTACTGCAAAACATTTGGAACTTTTTTTAGAACACAAAACATTTCTACCTGAGAATGATGATTCACTTGTGAATCTTAGAGTTATGTTTTGGTACAGTATAATATTTATGTCAAAATCTCTTAATCTGACCTCATACTGTAGGTAGAGCTACAGGTAACTGCCAAAATAAAGGAAACACCAACATAAAGCATCTTAATATGGCGTTGGGCCACCACGAGCCAGAACAGCTTCAATGCACCTTGGCATAGATTCTACAAGTGTCTGGAACGCTGTTGGTGGGAGGCGACACCATTCTTCCACAAGAAATACCATACATTTGGTGTTGTTGATGGAAAATGCTGTCTCAGGCACAGCACCAGAATCTCCCATAAGTGTTCAATCGGGTTAAGATCTGGTGACAGAGACGGCCATGGCATATGGTTTACATCGTTTTCATGCTTATCAAACCATTCAGTGACCACTCATGCCCTGTGGATTGGGGCATTGTCATCCTATGGGGGCATAACCATGGTATCCAAAAGTATGGCCTGCCCAGCATTTATACATGACCCTAAGCATGAAAGGATGTTAATTGCTTAATTACCTTAATTATCTTCCGGATTGTCTTCAGGCCTACATTTCAACATTTGTTGTGTATAACATATCATTAGTTTGTAATAAATGCAGATTCAATTATTTAATCATAAGAAAATACCGTTGTGTACTATTGTGTTTTAACAAATAAATGCAATGGCAGTTTTCAGTCAGCAGGAGGAGCTATTGCACCGTGGAAAAATACTTCCTACCGTAATTTCATTACACTGGAGGAAATCAATATATTCAAGCCCTACATACATTTTATGTTTTCATAATTACTGGCCCAAACAGTTATTAAAAAGCAAATGGGAAGACTAATTCATGATGCTTTTTTTACCTTAAAATATAAAAACAAATCTCCCACGAGGGCAAGGTGTGTTCTAATTCAATTGAATGCAAGGCCTTAACAGGAATTGTAAACATTTTTAACAGCAGTGATAGTCCCGGTATTTAGCCAGGGGCCTTACTCTCTTTACCCTGTCAGCTCTACCACAGTGGAGGGTTCGATAATCTCCTCCACTCATCAGCACATCTCCTCACATTCACACGCACACACAGACACTCAACAGAGGTAAACTGAGCCAGGCAGCCACAAGGACAAGGCCACAGTGTCACCTAGCAACGCAGCCACCACTTCAATCAACCTTCAGGTGAGAATTAAAACCATCAACAGAGCAGCAGAGTGAGGGAGAAATGGCTACCACAGCTGAGAAGGAATTTGAAGGACAAATAGCGCTGTAAGCCAAAATTGTGAAATACAGGATCGTATTGACTAGGCACCAAATGGAAGAAAACAGATTGAAACAAGGAGGGACTACCTGAGCTTCTCCAATAAGAAACGCTTGTTATCGTTTTCCGTTGCAAAATGTTTTGCGACAGTGTGCATTAATGAATACAACCCAAGAAAGGTCAGATAAGGGTGTATTACCATGTGCCTATATGTATTGCTTCTTTAGTTTAGAACAGTTTCCTATGAGAGGATGGTAGTTCTTACACAAAACATAAATGGGACAGTAAACTGGGTCGACAGACCTGTTCTCTCTGCTTTCGTTGCTCCACAGTGACAGCTTTATCCCGTCATGTAACGCCTCTCACAAAAATGCACTGAAGCTTGTGTAAATAAACTGACCCCCTTTTAGCACATTCCTCAGAACTGCTGTGCACGACTGACCTGTGTTTTACACGCACACACCCAAATACACACCCTCAAAACACACACTTCCCTTCTGCTGCAGGGCATAATAAACAGCTGTAAACCCTTGTGGCAACTGCTGCCAGTCTGCCACCATCTATACCCACTGCCAGTATCAAACAGTGGCACGGCTGCACAGCATCTGAACACAACTGCCCAGTGCTAAGGGACAATACATTACATTACATTTACATTTACGTCATTTAGCAGCAAACCCGGGTTGCGTCCCAAATGGCACCCTATTCCTTATATACCAAATGGCACCCTATTCCTTATATAGTGCACTACTTTTGACCAGGGACCATAGGGCTCTGGTCAAAAGTAGTGCACTATGTAGGTAACAGGGTACCATTTGAAAAAGCAGCCCAGTCTCCATAATAACACATTGCATTGAACATTGAAGCAGTGCTGATTTGTTTTAAACCTATGGTTTATAGACAACACACTGGTAATCACATCTGATAAACAGATTACATGTTGCTAGATGAAGGACAAAACAGACACCGTCTGCGTCCCAAATGGCACCCTTTTCCCTATTTAGTGCACTATATAGGGAATAGGGTGCCAATTGGGACGCAGACACTATGCTGCGAAGGCCAGGGAAACGCTGAGGTGAGGATGTGTATGACACCCATTCTCTAAACAAACACATCAACACATTTACTGCAACTAGGAGGGCAAGGGAGGACATGGGACACAGCTTAATGGATTCAAGAGGGGTGAGAGTGTGTGTGTAGGAATACGTACCTTTTGTTGAGATGAACATTCTTGACCAAAGGCAACTAATACTGCCATAGTGTCTCTTTCGTTGATGCTAGCTAATTATTCTATATTGATAGTCCATGAAGAGACAGCTATCACTGAATGAATTTGATATGATGAACCACTACAAAAATGCAGGTGTAATCGATTAGCTTAGCAGTAAAACTATTTTATAAGTAGGTTAAAATGAACACGTGAGTGTGACGTGATGAGTGATTTTTTTTTTTAAACAGTGAGGGTGGTTTCCTTTTCTCTGTGTGTTTGTGTTAAGCAGGGGTCATCAAGTAAGCACACACACATTGAGGGAGTGGGGTGGGGGTCGTGAAGGTGTCACTCAAGCCAAACAGAATCATCACACACACATTAATTGTGAATGCAACAGCCCTTATAAAGGGGTCATGCTGAGATTTATTGACCAATTCTGAAACATTTATCATTGTTTTTTCTTTACAAAGTACACACAATCCCCTGTATATACAATATAGATATATATATATACAGTACCAGTCAAAAGTTTGGACACACCTACTCATTCAAGGGTTTTTCTTTATTTTTACTATTTTCTACATTGTAGAATAATAGTGAAGACATCAAAACTATGAATTAACACATATGGAATCATGTAGTAACCAAAAAAAGTGTTAAACACATCTAAATATATTTTATATTTGAGATTCTTCAAATAGCCACCCTTTGCCTTGATGACAGCTTTGCACACTCTTGGCATTCTCTCAACCAGCTTCATGAGGTAGTCACCTGGAATGCATTTCAATTAACAGGTGTGCCTTCTTAAAAGTTAATTTGTGGAATTTATTTCCTTCTTAATGCATTTGCTTTGTGACAAGGTAGGGGGGTATACAGAAGATAGCCCTATTTGGTAAAAGACAAGTCCATATTTTGTCAAGAACAGCTCAAATAAGCAAAGAGAAACGACAGTCCAACATTACTTTAAGACATGAAGGTCAGTCAATAAGGAAAATGTCAAGAATTTGAACATTTCTTCAAGTGCAGTCGCAAAAAACATCAAGCACTATGATAAAACTGGCTTTCATGAGGACCGCCACAGGAAAGGAAGACCCAGAGTTACCTCTGCTGCAGAGGATAAGTTAATTAGAGTTAGCAGCCTCAGATATTGCAGCCCAAATAAATGCTCCACAGAGTTCAAGTAACAGACACATCTCAACATCAACTGTTCAGAGGAGACTGCGTGAATCAGGACTTCATGGTCGAATCGCTGCAAAATAAAACACTACTAAAGGACACCAATAACAAGAAGAGACTTGCTTGGGCCAAGAAACACGAGCAATGGACATTAGATCGGTGGAAATCTGTCCATTGGTCTGATGAGTCCAAGTTTGAGATTTTTGGTTCCAACCGCCGTGTCTTTGTGAGACGCAGAGTAGGTGAATGGATGATCTCCGCATGTGTGGTTCCCACCGTGAAGCATGGAGGAGGAGGTGTGATGGTGTGGGAGTGCTTTGCTGGTGACACTGTCTGTGGTCCTCTGTAGCTCAGCTGGTAGAGCACGGCGCTTGTAACGCCAAGGTAGTGGGTTCGATCCCCGGGACCACCCATACACAAAAATGTATGCACGCATGACTGTAAGTCGCTTTGGATAAAAGCGTCTGCTAAATGGCATATTATTATTATATTATTATTTATTTAGAATTCAGGGCACACTTAACCAGCATAGCAACCACAGCATTCTGCAGCGATACGCCATCCCATCTGGGTTGTGCTTAGTGGGACTATCATTTGTTTTTCAACAGGACAATGACCCAACACACCTCCAGGCTGTGTAAGGGCTATTTTACCAAGAAGGAGAGTGATGGTGCTGCATCAGATGACCTGGCCTCCACAATCCCCCAACCTCAACCCAATTGAGATGGCTTGGGATGAGTCGGACTGCAGAGTGAAGGAAAAGCAGCCAACAAGTGCTCAGCATATGTGGGAACTTCTTCAAGATTGTTGGAAAAGCATTCCAGGTGAAACTGGTTGAGAGAATGCAAAAAGCGTGTGCAAAGCTGTCATCAAGGCAAACAGTGGCTATTTGAAGAATCTCAAATATAAAATATATTTTGATTTGTTTAACACTTTTTTGGTTACTACATGATTCCATATGTGTTATTTCATAGTTTTGATGTCTTCACTATTATTCTACAATGTAAAAAATAGTCAACATAAAGAAAACCCTTGAATGAGTAGGTGTGTCCAAACTTTTAACTGGTACTGTATATAGTCTCTGTTTTTTGTTTATGATGAATTGATGAAAGAGTTAGTCAGAACATGAACAGCCTTATCATTGGCAATCATGCAGAGATGAAAGAAACACTCCTATTCCAAAACAAACAAACAGAAAGCAAAAACAAATGCATATGAATACTATATCAATGTATTAATCATCTAAAAGTGTTCATCTGAAACATATGAATATGAAAATGGTGTACAGGTTAGAGAGGCGTGGTTTGAGTTGAAAAAAATAGGCAAAGGGTTAAGGCTGAGATAATTCGACAGTTAATAAAATAGTTCAAATGAACAAAAGCAAAGCAGTCAAATGCTTTGATCAAATGTACAGCTTGTGCCCTTGGCTTCTAGAACTAAAAGGCCAAGAAGTCCACCCATAGAAAAACTGCAATACAGCAAAATAAATGAATAGTACAAATCAGTAATAAACAGTGGTCCTAGTAAGAGAATGGTCCCAAAACAAAAGGTAAAACGGGAATAAATACAACCGTATTTGAACGTCCCTCGCTCCTGCGGCTAAACTCAGTTGAGAACACATTTCCTCGCCATGAGACATGTTAACTACGAATGTCAACAGGGGAGAGAGAGAGGAGAGAAACCAACCGCCGTAAGGTCGCGACCCTGAGCAGCACTGTCACGCTGAGTTAGTTTAGTTTGTTTCCAGGTCAGGTGTGAGTATTTCAAACGTTGTGCAGAGGTTATCACTTGTTATCCAGTCTTAGGAGCTGCTCCTTACCGTTGACGGATAGAGACTTTAACTGACCGTCCTCCTCCACCTCCACCCTCTCCTGGCCATTCTCCACAATACTGCAGGAGATAAAACAGACTTAGAACTAAAGACAACAGAGTTATTTTAAATCATAACCTTATTGTTAAGTGTTACTGTTTTTCACTATTCAAAACTGTGTTGATGAATCGACTACAGCCTAAGTTAAAAGGACAATCCTGTTTGTTTTTATTTTGAGGAAACCCTTTAACACAGGGTGAGGACAAGTCAGTGAAGCATTGATTTCATTGACTGACTAGCTGTGCTGTGCTGAGCTGTGCTGTGCAGTGTGGTGCTGTACCGTTTCGTGGTGATTTGTCTGCCGTTAATGAACTTGGTGGAGGTAGACACCGAGCGGGAGCACATTCCTCCTCCACCTCCACCCCCGAAAGATGAAGAGGAAAACGCGGCGAAGCCTCCTCCACCCATATGTCCCAGGGAGGTGAAACCTAGGAGGGACACACACACACAGAGCATTTCATTTTACTGGTCACTCTCTCATATACACACTCCAAATCCCACCCATGTAAACACCAATATCCCACCATTTCTCCTTTTGACATTTTGATCTCAACTGAGTCTGTAGCTAAGAACTTTGTGATAACATCAAGAGAGTTCTCAATAAAGGGAAAGTAACATAAATTAAATGTTTCAGCTCTCTGGGTGACATTTGTCTTACAAACACACCCGTGAAAGAAAGGCGTAGTAACATTTCAAATAGATGGGGATGAGTGAATTATAACATGATTTATGTTGTAACAACTTCTGTGAGGAGAAGGTTAAGTTTAACCAGAGTTTTAGTACACACATATTTTAAGTATTACCGTGCTGCAGGGGAAGTGCACCTGAATCAAACCCTGTGAAGCCCGACCCGAAGGGGGGGAAGCCCCCGAACCCGTGGAAGAAGGGTCCTCCGGTCCTGCTCAGGTTCCCCCCCCGCTGCCTGTGTCCCCCACCGAAGAAGTCATCGTCCGCTGGGGAGAGGGGAGAGACAATGACAACACATTAGTCAAGTTCAAGTTTACTTTCACCCACATAGCTGTTACGACACCAAACTGCAGTCAGGTCAAGACCCTGGTGAGGACGACGAGCACGCAGATGAGCTTCCCTTAGACGGTTTCTGACAATTTGTGCAGAAATTCTTTGGTTGTGCAAACCCAAAGTTTCATCAGCTGTCCGGGTGGATGGTCTCAGACAATCCCGCAGGTGAAGAAGCCAGATGTGGAGGTCCTGGGATGGCGTGGTTACACATGGACTGTGGTTGTAAGGCCGACTGGACGTACTGCCAAATTCTCTAAAACGACGTTGAGGCGGCTTATGGTAGAGAAATTAACATTAAATTATCTGGCAACAGCTCTGGTGGACATTCCTGCAGTCAGCATGCCAATTGCATGCTCCCTCAAAACTTGAGACATCTGTGGCATTGCGTTGTTTGACAAAACTGCACAGTTTAGAGTGGCCTTTTATTGTCCCCAGCACAAACTGCAACTGTGTAATGATCATGCTGTTTAATCAGCTTCTTGATATGCCACACCTGTCAGGTGGATGGATTATCGACAAAGGAGAAATGATCACTAACAGGGATGTAAACAAATCTGTGCACAACATTTGAGAGAAATACACTTTTGTACTTTACGGACATTTCTGAGATCTTTTATTTCAGTTCACAAAACATGGGACCAAGACCTTACATGTTGCATTTATATTTTTGTTCAGTATAAATACATATTTATAAATTGAGCTGGATTATTCACTAAGTGCATTAACCTACAGACATTTTGAAAGGAAATGTCTGATGATATATCACAAATAATATTTGAGGGGTTTTAGTTTCATTTTCAACCGACTATATAATTATAATTTTTTTTAAATAAGAGTTCAATCATTTAGCACATCATATAACTCACATCATATAATTCACACATCATTTAGCGGTTTGTGTTAGTCTTAACCAGAAATGGCTTCAGTAGTCACATGGGAGACCCTCCCTCCCATAGGGACAGACGTGAGAGTGCAGAGAAAAATACCTGCCATTCCCGTTAGAAAGAATAATCCCCTGCTGCTTCCGCTCTCCAATCCACCACACAATGTAATTTCATAATTCATGTATTAATTGGACTGTTTATGCATGAGGACCCTGAGGACTCAGTCACACTCCCTCTCCCCTTAGAGAGGTCCGTAATAAACCCAGCAGCAAGCTCTCCATAAAGCCTCCCTTTAATCCTCTCTTTATTGAATTGTGCATCTCAAATGGACTGACCCCCACCACAATGTAGTGACACCCCCAGCACGGCAGGAGGTCTCCAATGTAGTGACACCCCCAGCACGGCAGGAGGTCTCCACTGTAATGGAACTGGGGGTGCGTCCTAACTGGCACCCTATTCCCTACAGTTGAAGTCAGAAGTTTACATACACTTAGGTTGGAGTCATTAAAACTCGTTTTTCAACCACTCCACAAATTTCTTGTTAACAAACTATAGTTTTGGAAAGTCGGTTAGGACATCTACTTTGTGCGTGACACAAGTAATTTTTCCAACAATTGTTTACAGACAGATTATTTCACTTATAATTCACTGTATCACAATTCCAGTGGGTCAGAAGTTTACATACACTAAGTTGACTGTGCCTTTAAACAGCTTGGAAAATTCCAGAAAATGATGTCATGGCTTTAGAAGCTTCTGATAGGCTAATTGACATAATTTGAGTCAATTGGAGGTGTACCTGTGGATGTATTTCAAGGCCTCCCTTCAAACTCAATGCCACTTTGCTTGACATCATGGGAAAATCAAAAGAAATCAGCCAAGACCTCAGAAAAAACATTGTAGACCTCCACAAGTCTGGTTCATCCTTGGGAGCAATTTCCAAACGCCTGAAGGTACCACGTTCATCTGTACAAACAATAGTATGCAAGTATAAACACCATGGGACCACGCAGCCGTCATACCGCTCAGGAAGGAGACGCGTTCTGTCTCCTAGAGATTAATGTACTTTGGTGCGAAAAGTGCAAATCAATCCCAGAACATCAGCAAAGGACCTTGTGAAGATGCTGGAGGAAACAGGTACAAAAGTATCTATATCCATAGTAAAACGAGTCCTATATCGACATAACCTGAAAGGCCGCTCAGCAAGGAAGAAGCCACTGCTCCAAAACCGCCATAAAAAAGCCAGACTACGGTTTGCAACTGCACATGGGGACAAAGATCGTAATTTTTGGAGAAATATCCTCTAGTCTGATGAAACAAAAATAGAACTGTTTGGCCATTATGACCATCGTTATGTTTGGAGGAAAAATGGGGCGGCTTGCAAGCCGAAGAACACTATCCCAACCGTGAAGCACGGGGGTGGCAGCATCATGCTGTGGGGGTGCTTTGCTGCAGGAGGGCCTGGTGCACTTCACAAAATAGATGGCATTATGAGGAAGGAAAATTATGTGGATATATTGAAGCAACATCTCAAGACATCAGTCAGGAAGTTAAAGCTTGGTCGCAAATGGGTCTTCCAAATGGACAATGACCCCAAGCATACTTCCAAAGTTGTGGCAAAATGGCTTAAGGACAACAAAGTCAAGGTATTGGAGTGGCCATCACAAAGCCCTGACCTCAATCCTATAGAAAATGTGTTGGCAGAACTGAAAAAGCGTGTGCAAGCAAGGATGCCTACAAACCTGACTCAGTTACACCAGCTCTGTCAGGAGAAATGGGCCAAAATTCACCCAACTTATTGTGGGACGCTTGTGGAAGGCTACCCGAAACGTTTGACCCAAGTTAAACAATTTAAAAGGGAATGCTACCAAATACTAATTGAGTGTATGTAAACTTCTGACCCACTGGGAATGTTTTGAAAGAAATAAAAGCTGAAATAAATCACTCTCTACTATTATTCTGACATTTCACATTCTTAAAATAAAGTGGTGATCCTAACTGACGTAAGACAGGGAATTTTTACTAGGATTAAATGTCAGGAATTGTGGAAAACTGAGTTTAAATGTATTTGGCTAAGGTGTATGTAAACTTCCGACTTCAACTGTATATATAGTGCACTACTTTTCACCAGAGCTTATGACTATGGGCCCTGGTCAAAAGTAGTGCACTACGTAAGGAATAGGGTGCCATATGGGATGCAGCTGAGCATGGAAGATGTTTCTAACGAGGTTGACCACAATATAATTTATGATCTAGGATTAAAACCCTTGAACCTCCGGACCGTCTTCTTCTTTATCTCGGTGTTCCTTGATGTGACTTATTTCGTTAGGAAAGGATTTAATGTAGCAGGGCTATTTACAATATACTGACTTGAAAATGGTCTTTGAAAGCTATTGCTAAACTCAGCTAATGTTAGGTGACTTGGGGTTAAGGAAGGTGTTGTTTTGACCAATGGGAGACGTGTCGTAGTAGGGAGCCTATTGGCTCAGCCAGTGGTGTAAAAGCCTGTATCTGCTCAGCGAATGACAGCGAGGCATCCACGGTTCACCCACAGAGCTCTAAATATGGAGGCGAGCCTCAGACAGCGGACGGATATGAGAGCCTACATCATTCAGCTGGAATGCTTTCAAAAATAGCTTCTGTATTAAAATAAGACCAGTTGTAATAGCATCAGACGCATGTGTCTGTGTGTGTGGAAACACATGTGAAACAGGGGAGGGGTTACAATAATACTTGATGAATGTGTGTTGTGTAGGAGTACACAGGAAGCTCCGAGGTTGATACTGCTTTGTTGTTTCTGTGTGTAAACTATGCAGTATGACTTCGCTCTGTATAAATGCCCAGGGCATCTTTAAAACACAGACGTCATCTGATTACCTTCAGTTACTTTTGGGCTACTTTACCCTTAAGAGGCATTATAAAAAGATAAAAAGGATCCATCAAACACATTTGGTATGTCATCATAGTAGTCTCTGACTTGTGGTCATACACGCTCAGGTTAACAAACTTAAACTTGCCCCTATTTTCAATGCTGGATTGAATGTCATTGAGAAAACAGAAAGGTGTCAATGTCTTTTTTCGCAAACATCCTTTCTGAATTTAAAAGTAATCATCTCATTTTTCAAAAGTATCTGTAATCTGATTACAATATTCTTGCTGGTAAAGTAACTGACTACAGTTTTTTTGTAATCAGTTACTCCCCAACCATGCCTACACCCTATAAAGCGCACTACTTTTGACCAGGGTCCATTGAGCTCTGGGCAAAAGTAGTGCACTATATAGGGAATAAGGTGCCAGTTGGGACGCATCCACAGAGTGCAGAGGACAGCTGTTGCTGTTTACTCCCATGTTGGCAGTGTCCAGCAGCAGCATCAGACAGCATGTCCTCAATGCTGTCGGTAAGAGGATAGTACCTGCTAGGCTGATGGCATGGAGAACCATACTTTGGTCCTGGCTTAATAGGTGTCCCTGTTTGCTCGTAAACTTGAATTTGAACCCAGACCATCCTGGCTATCCAGTCTGTGGTTGGAAGAGACTAAAGGATGCAATGGCTGTTGTTGTTTTCTCTCGAAAGCCAGTCCTATGGCTATACAGTACCTACCCTATAGCCCCTCTAGCCAGAGGCATGGTGATTGTATGGCTGGCTGTCATTATGCCATCTGGTGCTGGGGGTCTGTCAGTCAGTCTGTCAGTCACTAGACACAGCAGCAGCCTGGGGTCCTGCTAAGACTAATAAAACACAGGACGGGTCAACTGACTGCTGAAGTCCTGAGTCACACCCAGGCTACTACACTGTTAGACTAGATGGCACTCTGAGCACAGTCCTGGGTGTCAGGCTACCCCACGGTCAGGCTAGACAGTCCTGGGTGTCAGGCTAGAGTGTATGGGTATGTGTTTATGGAGGCTACACCTCCAGGGTTGGAAATTAACTTTTTGGTCCACTAGCCGCAGTGGCTGCCCAAATTCTACCAGACAACTCAATTTGTTTACAAGCCACATTTATTTTCCCCCAAAAAAGAAATAATAAAGATAAATCACAGAAGATGCATGCACGTGCTTTGTACTGTTAAAACAACATGTATTGAATGGTTTTGAAATTGATTGAAAGTGATTTCAAAGAACACACACACAGAGACAGACGTGGATATCAGAGCGTGTTTTATACCTGTTCCAGCCGGCAAGGTCTCCATCTTTCTCTCTATTGTTTGAACCAAATATTGAACCCCACCCCACTTTCACCACTGTAGCATTGAGATTCTCTCTTCCAGAGCTGACACACACACACTCAAATCGTGGGCTTTGGATAAAAATAAATAAAAAATGCTCCAAAACGCTCTGTGTGACCACCCGCCAATGTGGCTGGTAAGAATAGACATACCAGCTAATGCCAAAATCTACCAGCATTTCGCTGGTGGATGGTGTTAATTTCCCCATCCTGGCTACCTCAGTTACCCCTGATCAGTCTGCAGTGTAGCCAGTTCTCTGTACCAGCTATATAACACTATAGTCAGGCAGGGCAGCAAACAGCCTCTCTTATCCAGCCAGCAAGGCTGACCCAGATTGGCACACAATTAGTTGCATGTCCACAGGGGTTTAGAACGGAATTAGTTGTGGGTAACCGACAGTGAAAAGGTCAGGAGTGTTCCAGGAATTAAAAAGCACAGACCTCGCTCGAGGCAGCGTAGATCAACTTCATCTCAATGCCTGCTTCAGTTTTGTTTATCAAAGCCATATCTGTTTTGTCAACGCTAAAGTGATAGATTCCTCTAGATATTTACTATTATATACATAGGGATAAGACCTGAGTGTTTTGAGGTTTTACTTTTAACAACCTCACATCCGATATACAGCAAACTTGGATGAATTGTAAATAATAAAGTAGTCAAAGTGTACCAAAGTATGGCTCCATCCTCCTCTCTCTCCCTCTTTCTCGCTCTCCTCAGTCACTCTCTTTCCACTCTATAGGATAAGGGCAATTCCATTGGCTTCTCTGGGAGCTAGGCTCGCTCTAGGCATTCTCTGGCCTCAGTGGGGGGAAAAGACTTACCGAAGAAATCTGCAAATGGATCTCGACCCCCGAAGAATTCCCTGAAGACATCTTCTGGATTACGGAATGTGAACCCACCACTGAAGTGATCACCGTTGTGATAACGCCCTCCTGGAAGAAACAGAGAATCATCAACTAAGAACATACAATGAGAGTTATTGAGTGATAGCAGAGCAAAATATTCCTGGTCATGTAGTACACATGGTGATCTAAACATAGTTCAATTATTCAAGGGCACGATGAGGGTAGCATGGCACTACGAGGTTTAGTTGATAGCTAATGGTTTTGATTCCTCAGAAAAAAGAGCAAGGTTGGTATTGCCCTGTCAGATTTATGGTAACACACTGAAGTTGACCCCATAGGGCTGTACATTGGTAGAAGCAAAACACTTCTCCTTGGCATGCTAGCTAGCTTTATGTGGTATTTCAGATATTGTGTCATAACATCATATATTACTGTATCATATAATATACATGTTTAACCTCCATATTTCTTAGAGAGGCTACATATCAAAACATGAAGAGTAATGTATACCTCTTCCTCCCCCTCCGCCTCCGTTTCCAGCTAAGCCTTCTTTACCATATCGATCATACTGGGTCTTCTTGTTTGCTAGGGATAAGAAGAAAAGGAGGGATTAAGAGATCTGAAGCGGTCAGGCAATAGTCACTGTGGACGTGTCCCAAATGGCAACCTATTCCCTATGCAGTACACTACTTTTGACCAGAGCCCCATGGGCCCTGGTCTGACCTTGGTCAAAAGTAGTACACTATGGAATAGGGTGCCATTTGGGACACTTTGAACTTGACAAAGTGTAATTTCTGTTCTCCATCTAAAGTAAAGCTCGCTGCGACCTTTGGATAATAATAGCTACCTGGATATGAAACAGATCCTGCCTCATTCTCATTATTTGATACACGAGGTTCATGTGAAATGGTCTTAGTGGTTCCTTATTACTGCCAGCTGAGTTATAATGTATACAGAAATCTATTGATTTGATGCTTGTTCGCAAACTACACTCACTGAATGTTTCTCGATCGCAGTCTTAAGATCCTTTCTTCTACCCAGTGAGAAAAACGTATTGAAAAGATGTCATTTCAACTGCAAAACTGGTTGAAATCACTTATTTTCAACCGTCTTAAGATCCTTCCTCTAAGACCTCTGATAATCTTCCACCTGTGCTCTTCTTTCACCAACAGGTTCAAATTTTCAGAACTTGATAGGTGGAACAAGCCAAACGACAACAAGAGTGACTACTTAAAGGCTTGTATGAGAACCAAAAGAGGAAAGTCGATGTTCAAGTATGTAACTCCACAGCACAAACGGTCCTGACATTGTGCGCTTTGAAGGGAAACAATTACTGGCCTGTTGTTAGCTGCTGTTGCTGGGAGAGCAGTACATAACAGGGACAAATAAATCAAGACATTACAGTTCTCTGTTGTGCTCTCAGGCCTATAACTGATTCCCAAATGGCACCCTATTCCCTATGTAGTGCACTACTTTTGACCAGGGCCTGTTAAAATAATTTGTATCAGTCATACAATCTGTATAGCAGAGAGATATCACTAATCAAGTAGGCCTAGACCTCATGTGTGCATGCTATGTAGCTAGCTAGCATAGGTTTCTGTCCACCACATCATAACATTTTACAGGTTGCAGTCGCGTAATATGTTACTCATTTTAGTGTAAAAGGGTTCTTGTAACGTTTCGAAAATGGACACAGTGTACAAAACATTAAGGACACCTGCTCTTTCCATGACATAGACTGACCAGGTGAATCTAGGTGAAAGCTATGATCCCTTATTGATGTCACTTGTTAAATCCACTTAAAAATCAGTGTAGATGAAGGGGAGGAGACAGGTTAATGAAGGATTTTTAAGACTTGAGACAATTGAGACATGGATTGTTTATGTGTGCTATTCAGAGGGTGAATGTGCTAGACAAAAGATGCAAGTACCTTTGAACAGGGTATGGTAGTAGGTGCCAGGCGCACCAGTATGAGTACATTTTTACATTTTAGTCATTTAGCAGACGCGATTTACAGTTAGTGCATTAATCTTAAGATAGTTAGGTGGGACAACCACATATGGGTTTTTCATGCTCAACAGTTTCCCGTGTGTATCAAGAATTGTCCACCACCCAAAGGACATCCAGCCAACTTGACAACTGTGGGAAGCATTGAAGTCAACATTCCTGTGGAACGCTTTCGACACCTTGTAGAGTCCACGCCCTGACGAATTGAGGCAGTTCCGAGGGCATTCCTGACATGTGCATTAGCGTTTGTGTTAGCATTTCAAACTGTCCATAGTGAGGAGTCTTAGGTGGGGGGGGGGGGGGGGGGGGGGGGAGTCTTACCATCTGACAGGACCTCGTAGGCTTCTGAAAGCTCTTTGAACTTCCTCTCTGCGTCCTCCTTGTTGTCCGGGTTCTTGTCTGGATGCCACTTGAGTGCTAGCTTTCTGTACCTACAGTATGGCAGATTATATATTTTTCTACACATAGAAATAGACTCACATGCACAGACATGTACAGCCAAAAGATACCACCGTCATTTGTCATCTAAGGAGATGGGTAATCTCACCATTCATTAATAATGACACAACAAATACGAACTATGTATAACCATCAATATACAATAGTTTTCCATGAGTAGTAATTAGATTGAGAGGTATTATTTTATCATTCGCTGATAAAATTGTAGGTTGATGACTGAGGGCTGACCAGGAGAGTGCAAGTATCAATTCTTAACAGATCGTTTGCAATTCAGCAAACAGTTTGAGCAATTAACAGAGGATTTCAAAAAGACTCAGTAATCCGATTTCACCATTAAAATGACACAACCCCCTCTCGTGACACTTAATTGGAAAGAATTGTCCACTTTTCAGGCTGTATGTTAATGATTAACCCTGAATGAGGAAGATATCCTAATTAATCAAGAAGACAAAAGTGCAGGCAGAGCAGCAGGGCGTTTTTAAGGCTGTCAGCCCAATTCTCACCCCTCCACAGCAGGGGTATAAAAAAAGGGGAGGCAGAGTAAACTTCATGGCTCTGCAGTCCAGGACAGCGGTTTGTGCTGATTCAGCAGTTCTCCCTGACTAAGGCCTGCCTGTAGCAGCCAGTGGCTGCATCCCAAATGGCACCCTATTCCCTATATAGTGCGCTACTTTTGACCCACACTCAATAGAAAATAGGGTGACATTTGGGATGCAGCCACAGGCACTATGGAGGAATGCCCGGACTCAGAGGTCATCCATAGGGCTGTATAGAGACCACAGAGTAGGGATTTAGTCTTTTATGACAATATATTCTGCTGTGAATGAGCACATTAAGACCTAGGTCTCCACGCAGACTTGGGGCCATAGGTGTCAAGCTTCTCTGAGGAGGAGTGCTGATCTAGGATGAGGTCTTCCCTGTCCATGTAATCTTATTCATTATGATCTAAAAGGCTAAACTGATTTTAGATCAGCACTTCTACTCTGAGATGCTTGATGCATACGGCCCCTGTTAAAACTTACCTACAGGTAAAAACAAAAACAACAGCACTGGAAGGGTGCTTCTGGCCTGAGGTAAACCACATCTTGGTCGTAAAGCATCACGCTCACCTGAACGCAGGGCCAGCCAGCCAAATATGTAAATTTCTCTCACCCAGTGGCATATGGGTTATTTAGGTGAACGCTGATGCCGCCCCGTGAAAAGCAGTTGGCCTACCCACTTTGTCAAAGGCAGGGGCGCAACTTATTATCCATGCCCAGGGTGCCTCCCCACGGTGTTGTTGGAGAGACGCACCGCTGCGGCTCACCACAAATGTTCCATTTCTTTTTTTACATAAATTATGTAGACTATAGCCTACAGTAGAAAAAGTTGCATTTTCTGTATCCTACAGGCTGGAGATCAAATTTATGACAATGTCATGAGACAGATACTTTTTACATCATGCACGTTTCTCCGATCAAATAGCCTAGCCTAAATGGCGCCCAATCAAATACAAAATTTGCTTCGATGTGAATATGACATGTTAACAAACAGGACAGGTCAAAGTAAAATGGACAATATCTGGAATAGAAAATCAGGGTACTCACAACTGCTGTCCAGGAGTTTCAACCAATTATGTATATAAACCCTGGATTGCTGATGCTATCTATTGGCCATTGAGAGTCTTTGTAGCTACCGGTCAGCCATATTGGCACTCCCCAGTTGGAGCAGTGGTATCGGAATGAATGAAATGCTACAGTATTTCAATTAAATGTTTCAAAGACAAAATTACATGTATTTAAGTATTTTTGTTGTTGTAGTAGGGACAGTAACACTAGTAATCTAAAAAAAAAAATACTTCAAGAAAAATGTTATATATATATATATATATAATTTATTTTTTGGGGGGGGGTATGTTTAGCTAACATAATAGAATTTAAAAGTTTGCCCTATGCATTAAAGATGTCTGTAATAGAATAAATGTGTCAAAAACGAATGTAGACATTAATAAATGCATTTCTATAGCTTCCAAAATCTTTTTTTTTTTTTTTACAATGGAGGAGTACCAAGATGGCTGTGCGGTGGTTTAAAATCAGTCATGCAGGGGTTTATATTCACTACATGACCAAAAGTATGTGGACACATCTCATTCCAAAATCATGGGTATTAATATGGAGTTGGTCCCCCCTTTGCTGCTATAACAGCCTCCACTCTTCTGGGAAGGCTTTCCACTAGATGTTGGAACAATGCTGCGGGGACTTGCTTCCATTCAGCCACAAGAGCATTAGTGAGGTCGGGCGTTGATGTTGGGTGATTAGGACAAACTCGCTGTCGGCGTGCCAATTCATCCCCAAAGTTATTCGATGGGTTTGAGGTCAGGGCTCTTTGCAGGTCAGGCAAGTTCTTTCACACCAATCTCGACAAACCATTTCTGTATGGACCTCGCTTTGTGCAGAGGGGCATTGTCATGCTGAAACAGGAAAGGGCCTTCCCCACACTGTTGCCACAAAGTTGGAAGCACAGAATCGTCTAGAATGTCATTGTATGCTGTAGCGTTAAGATTTCCCTTCAATGGAACTAAGGGGCCTAGCCCGAACCATGAAAAACAGCCCCAGACCATTATTCCTCCTCCACCAAACTTTACAGTTGGCACTATGCATTTGGGCAGGTAGCATTCTCCTGGCATCTTCCAAACCCAGATTCATCTGTCAGACTGTCAGATGGTGAAGCGTGATTCATCACGCCAGAGAACGCGTTTCAACTGCTCCAGAGTCCAATGGCGGCAAGCTTTACACCACTCCAGCCGACGCTTGGCATTGTGCATGGTGCCCTTAGGCTTGTGTGCGGCTGCTCGGCCATGGAAACCCATTTCATGAAGCTCCCGACGAACAGTTCTTCTGCCGACGTTGCTTCCAGAGGCAATTTGGAACTCGGTAGTGAGTGTTGCAACCGAGGACAGACGATTTTTACGCGCAACAGGCTTCAGCACTCGGCGGTCCCGTTCTGTGAGTTTGTATCACTTCGCGACTGAGACGTTGTTGCTCCTAGATGTTTCCACTTCACAATAACAGCACTTACAGTTGACCGGGGCAGCTCTAGCAGGGCAGAAATTTGACAAACTGACAAACTGAAATTTGTCACTGATCTCTTCAGTAAGGCCATTCTACTAACAATGTTTGTCTATGGAAATTGCATGGCTGTGTGCTCAATTGTATACACCTGTCAGCAACGGGTGTGGCTGAAATAGCAGAATCCACTCATTTGAAGGGGTGTCCACATACTTTTGTATATATAGTGTACATAATTTGTTTCGACCCGTGGGCTAAATTGGCATGATAATCAGTGATTTTAAGTTTGTATTAGTTAATCATAGTGAAAAATAAAAAGAGTTCTGAATTTCCCGCTGTGTAAACACATGGATTCTCATTGCAAATAGGCTCAGGATAATTCCTGATAAAGTTAGGTAGCTGATATTCAGAGCTTAAATAGCCAAAACGATTAGTCACAGGAATCAGGACTAATAAAGCCAATGCAACTGCCTGTTTTACAAAACGGTAGGCTACCACATAGATGGGCATCCATAAAATTCCATTGCGGGCTGACACTGTAGGCTACACTATTCTATACTGAACAAAAATCTAAACGCAACATGCTCAGTTACAGTTCATATAAGGAAATCAGTCAATTGAAATAAATTCATTAGGCCCTAATCTATGGATTTCATGACTAGGCAGGTGCGCAGCCATGGGCCTGGGAGGGCATAGGCCCACCCACTTGGGAGCCAGGCCGAACCACTGGGGAGCCAGGCCCAGCCAATCAGAATGAGTTTTTCCCTACAAAAGAGCTCTATTACAGACAGAAATACTCCTGAGCACCCCTCCCCCTCTGACGATCCCACATTGAAGAAGTCGGATGTGGAGGTCCTGGGTGGCGTGGTTACACGTGGTCTGCGGTTGTGAGGCTGGTTAGACGTACTACCAAATTCTCTAAAATGACGTTGGAGGTGGCTTATGGTGGAGAAAATTACATTAAATTCTCTGGCAACAGCTCTGGTGGACATTCCTGCAGGCAGCATGCCAATTGCACGCTCCCTCAAAACTTGAGACAGACATTGTGTTGTGTGACAAAACGGCATATCCCCAGCACAAGGTGCACCTGTGTAATGATCATATTCTTTAATCAGCTTCTTTATATGCCACACCTGTCAGTTGGATGGATTATCTTGACAAAGGATAAAATGCTCACTAACAGGGATGTAAACAAATTTGTGCACAACATTTGAGAGAAATAAGCTTTTTGTGCGTATGGAAAATTTCTGGGATCTTTTATTTCAGCTCATGAAACATGGGATCAGCACTTTACATTTTGTTCAGTATAAAATCCGCCTAGGGTGGCAGAACGGCCAGGACCGGGCCTGCCTGAGAGAATACAGTGCATTCGGAAAGTATTCAGACCCCTTCCCTTTTTCCACATTTTGTTACGTTACAGCCTTATTCTAAGATTGATGAGGATTTGTATTTATTTAATCAATCTACACACAATACCCAATAATGACAAAGCGAAAACAGGTTTACATTTTTTTCAACAGAAACACCTTATTTATATAAGTATTCAGACACTTTGCCATGAGACTCGAAACTGAGCTCAGGTGCATCCTGTTTACATTGATCATCCTTGAGATGTTTCTACAACTTGTTTCTACAACTCATAATCTCACCTGTGGTAAATTCAATTGATTGGACATGATTTGGAAAGGCACATGACTATCTATAAAAGGTCGCACAGTTGACAGTGCATGTCAGAGCAAAAACCAAGCCGAGGTCGAAGGAATTGTCCGTAGAACTCCGAGACAGGATTGTGTCGAGGCACAGATCTGGGGAAGGGTACCAAAACATTTCTGCAGCATTGAAGGTCCCCAAGAACACTGTAGCCTCCATCATCCTTAAATGGGAGAAGTTTGGAACCACCAAGACTCTTCCTAGAGCTGGGTGCCCGGCCAGACTGAGCAATCGGGGGAGAAGGGCCTTGGTGGGGTGGCGTGACCAAGAACCCGATGCTCACTCTGACAGAGCTCCACTGTGGAGATGGGAGAACCTTCCATAAGGACAATCATCTCTGCAGCACTCCACCAATCAGGCCTTTATGGTAGAGTGGCCACACGCAAGCCACTCCTGAGTAAAAGGCACATGACAGCCCGCTTGGAATTTGCCAAAGGCACATAAAGGACTCTCAGATCATGAGAAACAAGATTCTCACTACGAGATATGAAGGAGAGTCTGAGGAGCGGTTTGACGAAAGAGAATTATACTTTTCAATTCACAGTACATCCTTGCTTTACCTTACCTAGCGTTGTGGCTGCCAACGCGACATTCTTGGTCTGCAGCTCAAATTGACCGTAAATATCATAGTAATCACTATCCAGTAAACACAAACTATTCAACAATGACTGAAACTTTTCTTCTAAAACATATTAAATTATTGAATAATGCAACCAAACCATATTAAACTCTTGAATAATGCAACAATTCAGAAGCATGCATGTGCAGACAATTGCTACAGCATGTCTTCATCAAATAACATTAGCTTATCAAAAATGAACGATTAACCCTCTCATACGAATATAAAAGTACAGTAGACCTACCTTACAATATAACAACCAACCAGCCTTCATTTTTATCAATATCATGCAAATCATTACATGTGGTAAAAGCAAATTGTGACTGAAAATGTGGATATAGGTGAATTCACCACGACAAGCTGTTTTATATGGAAGCCCATAACCGCCACCAACATCTTTTCATAAAATGCCTCATGATTTGTCAACGTGCACAATAAATACTTCAGTCTGATCAACTGTAGCCTACTGATAACAACCACAGCTGTAGGTAGCCTAGAGAAGCCCATGTGCTCTGATCACATCGGGGCCTGGGGAAACATAACGCCATGTTTTTATAGCCTAAAATAGGCAAACATTTTTGTGTTCTGAGAAAATGTGAATGTGATCAAATTTAGTTGATATTCACACTTCGGGTGGCTCGGCTACCTAGGCCTTTTTAATCCAAAATGATTGACTGGGGTTACTCAATCAACACAATAGTGATGACATACTGTATGAGTATATTTTTTATTACAGATGCAAAGGCCTACATGATGCAAACCTGCATACAGCTAGCTCAGCCCTGTTAGTTTTTGTCCAACCGCAGTTGTTTCTTTGTCTGTGTAAAGGGTTTTCATGTTTTCATCCTCCCTGGGCCAGGAGTTTTTCCAGGGTATTTATTTTTAAACCATATGACCTGATTAGAAAAATAATCTGGTCCCATCCTAGCCAATATAAAACAATGTTTTACAGCTGGTGTATTACTATGTCATACGCTACAACTAGGGTCTGGAGTTGGTTAGGTTAGCCTACTACCAGATCATGTCTCCCGAGTGGTGCAGTGGTCTAAGGCCACTGTGCCACTAGAGATCCTGGTTCGAATCCAGGCTCTGTCGTAGCCGACCGGGAGACCCATGGGGCGGCGCACAATTGGCCCAGCGTCGTCCAGGGTAGGGAATGGCCGGCAGGGATGTAGCTCAGTTGGTAGAGCATGGCATTTGCAACGCCAGGGTTGTGGGTTTCGATTCCAGTATGAAAAAAAAATATATATATATATATGTATGCACTCACTAACTGTAAGTCGCTCTGGATAAAAGCGTCTGCTAAATGACTAAAATGTACATGTAAAAAAATCAGGAATGGGGATGGGCTTCCATAGTTTTACGTGGCTCAGTGCAGCCGGCAGCTACTGAGTCAATTTCAGAATGTAGCAGGCTGTTACTGCAACTTCAAATAAAAACTCAATAAAACAAGTCTCAAATATTAGGAAAATGTCTTTACATTTCAGCTGTTTCAAAAACATTGCTCTGCTATTAACATTTATATTGTAGGTGTGTTGGCTTAACGAGACAATTCTGTTTACACTGCCCTGCTTCAAGGGGAGCAACTGTCTGGCGAGTGTCGTGAACTACCTCTGGAGGTAGATGTCGAAACGTAGCAAGTACACAAGTTTACATTTAAGTAATATGTGTAACAGACGGTATTTTTATGAAAAGTGTATTAAGTGTGAAGAGGCGCCAAGATTGAGGTAAAGCAGTTCAAATCGGCACGGTTAGAAGTGGCCCAGTGGTAAGAGTATCAATTGTATCAGAGAGATGGGGTTACACAATTTACCTAACCTTTTGACCTTTGTCTAGGGTGCTATCTATCTAGTTAAAAAGGTCAAATGCAGGATAGTCAGCGTTAAAAACAGAGTTAATATGACTACTGCTTGTGTTTAAATTACCACTACTCAGTCCCTTTAGTGACTTAGACAGTTATGTTTACATTGTAATCAACACTTAAACTGAAAAACAGAACTAGAGAGGAAAAACGCTCCCTTCACAGTGAAGTTGGTGTTAACTTCAGCCAAACCCTAAAAAACGAGCATACCTTAGATTCCCAAGCCTAGCAGCACAAAAGGGCAGATCATAATCTCACAATCATACTGATGTTTTAAAAGAGGAGTAGGTGTGTCTGTTATTCACAACATATTACTGGCAAAACAATACGAATGACAGTCTTCAAATGACAATAGGAAACATTGGTCACAGGACGTGAGCGGGGCTGTTCAGTGTGTCTGTGTGTGTGCGGGTGTGTGAGTGTACAGGAAGGTTTGTGACAGCGATACTCAGCAAGGTTACAGGAAGAGGAGTGATAAGAGTGGAAACCTTCTAAAGCATTGCGGTTAGCACTCTATCCGTTTTTACTCAGTTTCTATAATTAGTCTACTACATCCTTCAGAGTGTCCAACATTACTAAAGTCGACACGCGTGTAAAAATAGAGGCCATGCCGGACAAGGTTACTCACGCTTTTTTAATGTCCTCCGCCGAAGCGTTTCTCTGGACCCCTAAGATCTGGTAGTATTCTGTCATGGCTGTTTTTCTTTGTGGCTCCTTCTTCTAGCCAACCGTCTTCAGCCGTCGCTCTGCAGAGGGAGCAAAGCACCGTTTAAAAACACACAATGTGGAGGAACTCAAGGAGGAGAAAAGCACAACAAAGTGGGGCCGTGACAGAGGCAGCCATGTGTGACAGCTAAGAAATCTCCCGTCCCTCGAGGCCCAGCAGGGTGAGGATAGAAGAGGGGGGAGGGGATGGGACAGGGTATTTCACAGGGTGGCACAGCTAAACAATGTAATCAACTGCCCTTAAAATAGAGCCCTCTTGAGCGAGAGAGCAAGGGGGGAGTGAGCGAGAAAGAGAGAGAGAGGGGAGCGAGAGAGAGGGGAGCGAGCGAGAGGGGGGGAAGCCGGGGACAAGACTTAAGCTAACATTAGTTCTAATATTACATAATGATGGGGTAGAGTGGATACCCTGGCCTGCCGCTATAAGTAAGAGTGAACGTGTGATTTACGATTACTTAGGGAAGGACCAATGAAGAACAGCCATAACGCCCAAGTGACCCCCTTTTCATAAGCATGTCTTTACTTATATCAAAGGCGGCCTGGAGCACCAGGCAAAACATGCCCCGATATACAGTACTTCCATCCGATACAAGTCTTCCATTTCATCTCTGCTTAATGTGGCCAGTGGGAGGCAGCTTTGAAAAGAGAATAAACTCCAGAATAAGTTGATCTCTATGGGACGTCGTCTTCCCCTGTCAATTTGCAGCCCCAGTAGTCATCTGCATGATCCACCAGACAGTGTTAACATCACTCCACTACCGCACCTTAAACCCCCACTGACACCCCAGTCACACTGTGCACTCTTTATTAACTTTACATATTAACGGTCCAATTAGCACTCAATTAACAATTACAGTATATACAGTGGGGAGAACAAGTATTTGATACACTGCCGATTTTGCAGGTTTTCCTACTTACAAAGCATGAAGAGGTCTGACATTTTTATCATAGGTACACTTCAACTGTGAGAGACGGAATCTAATCCAGAAAATCACATTGTATGATTTTTAAGTAATTAATTTGCATTTTATTGCATGACATAAGTATTTGATCACCTACCAACCAGTAAGAATTCCTGCTCTCACAGACCTGTTAGTTTTTCTTTAAGAAGCCCTCCTGTTCTCCACTCATTACCTGTATTAACTGCACCTGTTTGAACACGTTACCTGTATAAAAGACACCTGTCCACATACTCAATCAAACAGACTCCAACCTCTCCACAATGGCCAAGACCAGAGAGCTGTGTAAGGACATCAGGGATACAATTGTAGACCTGCACAAGGCTGGGATGGGCTACAGGACAATAGGCAAGCAGCTTGGTGAGAAGGCAACAACTGTTGGCGCAATTATTAGAAAATGGAAGAAGTTCAAGATGACGGTCAATCACCCTTGGTCTGGGGCTCCATGCAAGATCTCACCTCGTGGGGCATCAATGATCATGAGGAAGGTGAGGGATCAGCCCAGAACTACACGGCAGGACCTGGTCAATGACCTGAAGAGAGCTGGGACCACAGTCTCAAAGAAAACTATTAGTAACACACTACGCCGTCATGGATTAAAATCCTGCAGCGCACGCAAGGTCCCCCTGCTCAAGCCAGGCCCGTCTGAAGTTTGCCAATGACCATCAGGATGATCCAGAGGAGGAATGGGAGAAGGTCATGTGGTCTGATGAGACAAAAATAGAGCTTTTTGGACTAAACTCCACTCGCCGTGTTTGGAGGAAGAAGAAGGATGAGTAAAACCCCAAGAACACCATCCCAACCGTGAAGCATGGAGGTGGAAACATCATTCTTTGGGGATGCTTTTCTGCAAAGGGGACAGGACGACTGTACCGTATTGAGGGGAGGATGGATGGGGCCATGTATCGCGAGATCTTGGCCAACAACCTCCTTCCCTCAGTAAGAGCATTGAAGATGGGTCGTGGCTGGGTCTTCCAGCATGACAACGACCCGAAACACACAGCCAGGGCAACTAAGGAGTGGCTCCGTCAGAAGCATCTCAAGGTCCTGGAGTGGCCTAGCCAGTCTCCAGACCTGAACCCAATAGAAAATCTTTGGAGGGAGCTGAAAGTCCGTATTGCCCAGCGACAGCCCCGAAACCTGAAGGATCTGGAGAAGGTCTGTATGGAGGAGTGGGCCAAAATCCCTGCTGCAGTGTGTGCAAACCTGGTCAAGACCTACAGGAAACGTATGATCTCTGTAATTGCAAACAAAGGTTTCTGTACCAAATATTAAGTTCTGCTTTTCTGATGTATCAAATACTTGTCATGCAATAAAATGCAAATTAATTACTTAAAAATCATACAATGTGATTTTCTGGATTTTTGGATTCCGTCTCTCACAGTTGAACTGTACCTATGATAAAAATTACAGACCTCTACATGCTTTGTAAGTAGGAACACCTGCAAAATCGGCAGTGTATCAAATACTTGTTCTCCCCACTGTATCTATTACATCAACATTTATAAAATCCTCCTTAAAACAGGTTGATTCCATACAAAAACAGTGTGTGTGTCTGACCACTTTCCAAGCATGAGCAATTATAGCATTAGGGAGAGATCGAAATTTACTGGGGGGGGTGGTCCAAAATAGTGGTAAGGTTGTCAAACTAATTTTTTTTGCTTTGGGGAGGGTTGTGTGGTTATTTTATTGGGCACAGAGGAGGGTAGTGCATTTTTTCCCCTGGTTTACATTCGCTCTTTTGTAGGTTTTACTATATAATTTCTTCCACCCTAGCCAAATTTCCTTGTGCGCTTGCATGCAGTGATGCCAACTTAGCAATTTTGTTGCTAGATTTAGCAACTTTTCAGACTACCCTGGCAACATTTTTTTCCAAACAGCACCAAGCAACAAATTTAGCTACTTTTAAAAATTGATTTGGAACTTTTAGCAACTTTTGAAAAGTGACTCAAATGCTAAAATGCACGCATTTCCCCTCTAAATGACACCAAAACGATTTTCTCTGTCACACACTCAGTCACAACACGTGCCTGGCTGCAAAAGTGCATTGTGAGTGACGTCATCAGCAGGCGCTCAGCTCGTGCACAGGCCAGCCAAGCAGCACAATAACCTGGAGAGAGCTGGAGAGAGATGCCTAGCGCACACATCATTATTTGAGTTAAGTTGCTTGTTCAATAAGATGGCATATATACCTTGTTATTAGCTTGTACTTATACTTGTTGATCAGTTAGGTAGCATGTTAACTAACTAACAATACACTGCTTAAAACTATAAATTGTTCAGAATGTGTAGGTTTACTAGTTAATAAGAAAATAAATCAAATGTAATTGTTCAGTAATGTGTCATGTGTAATTGTTCATTAATTCAATGTGTTGTGTTTTTTTTTATTTATATCTGATCATATAAAATGTGTTGTGTTTATATTACTTTTACAAATACAAATATGTGATAATAAACAAACAAATCTAAACTAACAAATGTCAAATCATATTTGTCGCCGAGATGGCCAGTCAATTTGAGTAACGTTATTGTGTATTCTACGTAATGACGCAGTTTTACGTTATTACGGAATGACGTCATCACGCAATGACATCACAACGTCATTTAGCAACAAATCGACCTGCCTCTAGCAACTTCCCCAAAAATTAGTTGGCAACACTGCTTGCATGTACCTCCCCTATATCAAGGTGTTTTGGTACTTCCCTTATGCACTATGCTTTTCTGTGTACTATACCACAGATCAGTATAATATACCAGTGTAACAGTATATCCAGCCCTCTATCCACCATTCATAGTGACAATAGTGGTAGGTGGATCGTTTGTCCAGATCTGCAATAAGCTAACTAGCATCATACCACACATAAAAGCATTCAAAGCTGCATCAATTTTCAATATGAATCCACAACAATAAATAGGAATAGCTGATAGGCAGCAGAGAGGCCAGGTGCATCATTGCGCATGAAAGAATAGTGAAGACATGAGACAAAAAGATCCCCTATTGATCTTGTTTAGGGACAATACAATGATCTTACCTAGACTAGCCTACAACACCACAATGCAATGAATAATTGCATTATTGTTTTCAAGTGAGTACAAAATTCTACTCTAGGCTGCAGTGAAAATGTCATTTTCAATAATAGCGCAAAAGTCCTGTGATTTTAATGTTTCATTTGATTTGGAATCAGTTGTCGGTTTACTCGACAGTTTAGAAAAGTCTAGAAAGACACCGTAGCAGGCCAGTCTGGCTGTATTTTTACTTCTGATACAGAGATGAGCTGTCTGTTGCAGATCATCATTCTCAGAAGTCGTCCTATAATAATGTAGCTACATATGCTCCCGGCAGGCCCAGTTATTCATGAAAGCTTAACACGGGCTCTGCCTCCTCTCCAATTCGAGTGGCTATTTCTCGCACGCCTAAAACCTAACGCTTCAATATAGCCTACATATTTATAAATTAACTTTTAACATGTATACTGAACAAAAATATAAATGGAACATGTAACAATTTCAATGTTTTTACTGATTTACAGTTCATATAAGGAAATCAGTCAATTGAAATAAATTCATTAGGCCCTAATCTATGGATTTCACATGACTGGGAATACAGATATGCATCTGTTGGTCACAGATATCTTTTTTAAGTAGGGGCGTGGATCAGAAAACCAATCAATATCTGGTGTGACCACAATTTGCCTCATGCATGGCAACATCTTCTTCGCATAGAGTTGATCAGGCGGTACAGTTGAAACCGGGATTCATCCATGAAGAGCACACTTCTCCAGCATGCCAGTGGCCATCGAAGGTGAGCATTTGCCCACTGAAGTCGGTTACGACGCCGAACTGCAATCAGGTCATGACCCTGGTGAGGACGACGAGCACACAGATGAGCTTCCCTGAGATGGTTTCTGATTAAGGTGAAGAAGCCGGATGTGGAGGTCCTGGGCTGGCATGGTTACACGTTGTCTGCGGTTGTGAGGCCAGTTGTACGTACTGCCAAATTCTCTAAAACAA